GTCGTCCTTTTTGCTACTTGTACCCATTATTGTTCCTGGTTCTGCTCTCTCTACTCTCAAATAGAAAAAGTCTAAACCAGAGGTGGGGAGCCAGAGGAGACCGGAGCCTCGAGGCTGCAGGTTCCCCACCCCTGGTCTACACTGCAGGTTCCCCACCCTGGTCTACACTCTCCTCCATGCGGCAGCTTTTAAGGCTTAAAGACACCTATCATGTGCCCTCAAACATCTGCTCTCCTGCTCTACGTGATCGTTAAAATGCACAGATGTGACCTCGGAATTGGGGGAGAGCCCAGAAGAACCTCATCCCATTAAGCACATTAGCATGATGAGTTTCTCAGAATAACTGTCTCGCTCTAGAAGGCACGGAATCTTGGCCCTGAGGAGGTGAGGCATTGAACAGGACGGAGGAGAAGGAGGATGTCACATGCACAGCTTTAACATTCTGAGGATGAGATGGTAAACTTAAAGAACCCCAAAAAGTCAACTAAAAATTAACTGAAACGATAACTCCAGTAAACTTGCAGGATACAAAATAAATCCACAGAAATTATCAGTATTTCTACTACCAATAAAACCCAGTAAGAAGAGGTAGAAAAAGAAATTACACTTAAAATAATTACAAAATATATAAAATACTTGGGCATCTACCTGCCAAGATACACACAAGAACTATATAATAAAACGATGAATCACTATTTACGCAAATATAGACATAAAAATTTGAAAAATATTAATTACATGTGGATAGGATGATAAAAATGACAATAATGCCTAAATTAACTTACTTATTCAATGCCTTACCAATCAAACTATCAAAGGATTACTTTGTAGAAGTAGAAAAAAATTATAATTAAGTTCACATGGAGGCAAAAAAAGGTCAAACATCTTAAATGAAATAATGAAAAAAAATGGAAGGCAAAGGGGGGCCTAAGAATGTCATATCTCAAATTATACTACAAAGTAGTTATTTTCAAAACAATTTGGTTAAAAAATAGATTGAGGCATCTAAGTGGTGCAATGGATAGAGTGCCGGCCCTAGAATCAAGAAGACTCATCTTCCCGATTTTAAATTTGGCCTCAGACACTTACTTGCTATGTGACCCTGGGCAAGTCACTTAACCTTGTTTGCCTCAGTTTCCTCATCTGTAAAATCAGCTGAAGAAAGAAATGGCAAACCACTCCAGCATCTTAGCCAAGAAAACCCCAAATGGGGTCACAAAGAGTCAGACGTGACTAAAATGATTAATAACAACAAAATAGACCAATCGGTCAGACAGATTAAATACAAAACATACAGAAGCAAATGCTTCTAGTACTTTAGAACTAGGTAAATACAAAGCCCCAGCTACTGGAGTAAGGACTCACTATTAGATAAGAATTGCTGTAAAAACTGGACTGCAGTATGGGAGAAATTAGACTTAGAACAACACCCCACATCCTATTTCAAGATGTACTCCAAATGGATACATGACCTAGCTACAAAGGGTCATATCATAAACAAATTAGAGAAACATGGGAGGAAATCACCTATTACATATCTATGAATACAAGAAAAGTGCATGACCAAATAACATAAAGTAGATAATTTTGGATACATAAAATTTTAAAGTTTTGCATGAAAATACAATAAAGCTAAAATTAAAGGGAAAACAATTAACTGGGGGAAAATATTTGTAGCGAGTTTCTCCAATAAAAGTTTCATTTCTAAGACATATAAGGAAATGATTCAAATTTATGAGACGAAGAGCTATTTCCCATTGATAAATGGTCTAAAGATTTGAATAGGCAGTCCTGAAGGAATGAAGTCCAGGCCATCTATAGCCATATAAAAATGTTCCACATCACAACTAATGCTATCTCACATTGTTCGCTATCTGTCGAAGAAAACAAAAGAGGAAAAATGATAAATATTCGAGAAGTTATGGGAAAACAGGTACATAGATACACTGTAGGTAGAACTACGAATGAGCGCAACTGTGGTGGACAGCAGTTTGCATTAGGTACAAAATTACTGAACAGTATGTACCCCTTGACCCAGATACCCCCTGCTATACCTATACCTCCTACCCTTCAAAAGATTAAGAAAAAAATAGTGAAAATTTTTGATAACCACAAATTGAAGAGTAGTTGAATAAGTTGTGGCATATGAATGTAATAGAATTACTATGATGTTTAAGAAATGAGAAAATTTCAGAGACATGGAAGAACTTGTATGAACTGATTGAGTGAAGTGAGCAGAACCAAAAAGATGTATACTAATAGCATCAATATTACAAAAATGGAAAATTTGCAAGACTTACATAAACTGATGATGAATGAAATGTGCAGCACCAGAAACATGCCAACCCTCTAGTGCCAACAAACTTATAAAGACATCATAATGATGAAAGCTGTAAGAACAATGACCATCCATGATTACAGCAGACCTAAGATGATGAACTATGTGATTCATCTCCTGACAAAGAGGTGATGGATTTAAGGTGCAGAATGAGACACAGGTGTGTGTGTGTTTTGCATATAGACCACGAAGGAATTTGTTTTGCTTAACTATGCATATTTGTTACGAGGAATTTGTTTTTCTTTTCTCTTTTTTTTTTCCCAGTGAGGTAGGGTAGGAGAGAGAAAATGGATTTCTGCTAATTTTTAGGATAATGTAAAAAATAGAGAGGTACTATAGATATCCAATTTTGCATACATCTTCAAATGAGGTCCCTGTATAGCTAATTTTGCTTAATTGTTTTACTTTGTTACAAGAGACCTCTCATAGCGTGGAGGCAATCTGGAAATATTGTAATGTAAAAATAAAACACATCAATAAAACTTTTTTTTAAAGTTAGCTGGGGAGAGGAATTCCCAAATGGGGACAATAGAAGGAGATGAGGCCCAGTAGGAGCTCTGTACTTTAGGGCAGTGAAATAAGAGCTCTAGGCCCGAGGGTACTAGGCATCAATCAATACCCAGAGACAAACTCGTTCTTTGTGACTGTTTTGTTTTTACAAAAAGAACTGCAGGTTTGTATTTAAAGAGCCCCATATGCCTAATAGATGCCCCAAATATCTGTAGACCCTATCTCAGGCCATGTCTTTACCTTTTACCTTAAGCAAAAGGCCTCATTTTAAATTATGTATTTAATGTAAAAATAGCAACAGAAATTTAGCATAGTTTTGTTTTATTGTTCTATGACTTCCAGCAGGTCACTCTACTTCTAAATGCATTTGCTACAATGAATAAATGGGAGAAAACATTGCTTCCAAAAAATGGGATAATATCAAATAAACTGAATAAAATTCCTTTTAATGCAGAGTTTTTAAACTTTTTTTGCATCAAGGACCCCTTCTCATAATAATAGCTCTGAATGCATAAAATAAAATGCACAGAATAAAAAAGGAAAGCAATTGTGTCAAAATACAGTTATCAAAAAACTTTTTTAAAAAGTTCTGGACTCCAGGTTAAGAAATCTTGCTTTAATGGCTAGGGCTTCTCATACAGTCAAACTTCTAATAAAGAGACCCCAACTCATGGAATAATGAATTAAAAGTTATTTCTGGGCTCTCTACTTTTAGGAGAAACAAACCAATTCCACAAGGTGATGTTAGTTGTTTAAAGTAAAAAAACAACTACCTGATTGTGGCCTGGGACCAGACATTGGTCTGGTCCAGTCTCCTTCACCTTCTACAGCTACAGAAGGCAACTCCTTCCATTTTACGTTTGTAAAACAGTTCAGTTTTTTCAGTGAAAATGGCATTAAAGGAGAGGCATTACTCTCCTCTTTGCCACTGTACCCTAATGACTTCTCTATCTGAGGTACAGCTCTCATCTTCCACTTGTATGATTTCTGCCATCAGCATGTAGCTTCTTGAGGGACTGTCTTGCCTTTCTATTTGCAATTCCCAACACTTAGCAAAATGCTCTGCACATAGTAAGTGCTTAATCAATGCTTCTTTCCTTCATTCTTCTCTACTAACATATTAAGTTTAATATAGATTTTTAAAAATAAGTTATACGTAATAGATGCAAAATTTTGTATGTAACCTCCATTTTCTGGCCTTCTCTATACATGGGAATGTTCACTTTGATTGATTTTCTAGTTCGTAATAAAAAAATAATTCAAAATAATTACAGAGCATTCAATTATTTTTGTGGTTCTTTCCACTTACATTTTTGTGGGCATTGTTTTCCCTGGTTCTGCTCAGATCTTTTCACAGCGGTTCACCTAAGTCTTCCCAGAGATCATGTTTTATAGATGAGGAAACTGAGACCCCAAAGATTAAGTGACTTGCTGATCTAGCTCCTAGAGCCTATAATCCCCTAATGATATCTCCTACCTACCCTGGTAGTCCAGCAGGAGCAATAGAAGGGAGACTATGGTGCCTGAGGCAAGAACACAGACAATGTGAGAACACCATGAGGAGAACCCAGTTTCCCTACTTCTGCTCTTTTTCCCTCTCCATTACACTAGAATGAAGATCCGTGATTGATGACAAGATGCTTAAACACATCTTTTCCAGACTAGACTAGCTGGAGCAGGAAGGGTAAATTGAGACATTTGGCAAGTCGACATCAAGAATTACAATGTGACCTTCAGGAGAGATGATGGAGCAATGATACTCTAGGAATGGAGAGGAGTGCCAGGGAAATCACCTGTGTCCTGTCTGTGCACCCCTCTAAGCTTCCTTCTGCACTCTTTCCTGTCTCTTTTAAATATTTCATATACGTACACAAAGACTGGCTAACAAATGCAATTCCTCCCACATGATTAAACAATTACATTCAACGAACATGTATTAAGCCTCTGTGTTGCGCTGGGTCCTGGATGGAAAAGATGTGCCTCGTGTTTCATATGGAGGAAAGGAAGAAGAGAAGGGAACTGCTTAACTTCTGTGTTTAGGGCAGTCCTTGGGATTCCTGACCTCTCAGTTAACTGACAAATCACTCCTACCTTTCTGTGCCCTTCTGCAGCACATTCCAGTGAATAGAGGTTTTTTCAGAGGAACACTTACCTCAAGCAAAGAATCCTGGAGCTTCATATTCAGGGCAGCTTTCTCTTCTTCCAGTCGTTTCCTTTCATTCTCAGATTTCTTCTTCATTTCCTCTAACTGTTTTTGAACCTCCTAAATAGGATTGAAATAATTCAGGCCAAAAGGTACAAAAACACGGCCCAACAGACACGTGCTAAAGAGTATGAAAAAGGTAACAGGAAGCCTGCTCTGCTGCAGCACCATGAGGGACAGATGCACAGACAATGGCACAGGGACACAGAATCCTAGATCAAGAATAAGAGGGACCAACCCTAAAAGTCATTTAATCCAACTCTCCCATTTTACAGACTAAGAAACTGAGGCTCAGAGTGATGAACTAACTTCCTCAAGGTGGCACTGGCAGTAAGTGCCCGAGAACTCAAACTCAGGTCCTGTGACACCAAGTCAACACTCCCAGTCAGTGCTCTTTCCATTGCACCTTGTTGCCTTCTAAGAAGGGAAGGGACCCAGGGCCAAGTGGGAGAATCAGGCGACAGGCTGAATGCTGAAGCCAGTCTTGTGGCAAAGTCAAACCTGCTGGGAGCATAAGAATAGGAGGTGCTAGGAGTGTGGGCAGTGTGGCTGATGTCCCGTGGGATTGTGACAAGACCAAGCAGGACAGGTGACCTGTGTGTGTCTGGAGAGTCCATAGCACTGAGTGCATGGATGTTATGAGCTTAAGTGTCTCGTGCTCCAATGCGTCATCCTTTTCCATCTGGCCTGTGGGGGCCATCAGACAAGGTGCCCGTGTCTCCACGGCCAACACAAAGCTAAGAATCATGTTTTTAGATTGCTGTGATGATTTCTTTCTTTCTTTTTTTGTTAGGCAACTGGAGTTAAGTGACTTGCCTAGGGTCACATAGCTAGTAAGTGTCAAGTGTCTGGTCTGAGGCCAGATTTGCTCGGGTTGGCCTGACTTTAGGGCCAGTGCTTTATCCACTGTGCCACCTAGCTGCCCCATGATTTCTGAAACACCCAGCTGGAAGGGGGTTTGTTGCCTTGAATGGGTACTGACTCTGGACAATTTAGATAAATTCAATTCACTCTAATTTAATAATCATTTAGGTGAGCACCAACTAGGTCACTGTGTTTAGTGTTGGGGATACACAAAGACAAAAATGAAAGAATTCCTGCCTTCATTGAACTTACATTCCACTGCAGGTTACAACACGAAAACAGAAAAGTAAATACAAGACAACTTGAGGAGAGAGAGTCGAGACACACTTACTCCTTACCTCTACCTCACAGAAGCCTGTCTTCCTTCAAGACAAAGTTCAATCTTCTTGACCACCTTCTAGGGGAAGCTTTTCCTGATCCTTCCCCCAGCCCCACTGCTCGTGCCATTCCTCCCAAGCTAGCTTGTACTGAATTGCTTTGTATTTATTCTCTTTATATTTATTTTATGAGGGATAGCATTGCACAATGAATCTCACAGAACCAGCCTTGAAGCCAGGAAGGCCCTGGGTTAGAATCCTGTCTCTGACACACACTGGCTGTATGACCCTGGGCAAATTACTTAATCTCTGAATGTCTTGGGAAGTTCTCTAAGACCATGAATTCTATAGCTGACCTAGGAGTTCCCAAAACCAGTGAAATCACATGGCTAACTTCTAGTTCTACCTATATATACGCACACATGCACACACGCGCACATTCTCTCTCTCTCTCTCCCCATTTGGAATGTAAGCTCCATGAAAACAGGGATTATTTAATTCTTTCTATCTTCAGTACTTAGCACATTACCTGGCGCAGAGTAGGCACTTAATAAATGCCAGTTGATGGGTGGATGGATGAATTAATAACTAGTGGGAAGCAGGAGGCTTCAAGAAGGAGATGTGGTCACCTGAGCTGAGCCTTGAAGGCAGCTTGTAAGAGGCAGAGGTGAGGATGGAGGGCATTCTAGGCCTGGAGGATGGAAGCAGAAGGTGGAATACTGAATTCAAGGAATAGAAGGTAGGCTGTTTGGGTTGGAAATCTGAATGAGTGAAAGGCTAAGAGATGACGGGGAACTGAGAAAAAGAAAGCAACAAAGGGAGGCAGCTTAAAAAAATCTGATTTTGAAGGGAGGGGAAACATAGGATGTTGGTTTGAGGGGAACACATTCAAGAGAAGTTTTTTTTTTAAGGATAGGAGAGACTGAAAAAAAAAACGGTCTAAATCACTAATGATTAGAGAAATGCAAATTAAAGCAACTCTGAGGTACCACCTCACACTGATCAGAAATGACAAATGGGGGAGGGCCAGAGCCAAGATGGTACAATAAAGTCAGGGACTTGCCTGAGCTCTCCCCGAAACCCCTCAAAATGCCTTTAAATAAAGAACAAATTTTAGAGCTGCAGAACCCACAAAAAGACAGAGTAGAACAATTTTCCAGTCCAAGACAACTTAGAAAGTTGGGAGGAAAGTTCTGTTGCACCAGGCTGAGAGTGGAACGCAGGCCAGTGCAGGCTGTGCCAGTGCAGACTGGGACCCCAGCAAACCAGAAGCAGGCCTGGGGGGCCCGAAATGGTGGTTTCTGGACCTCTCAGCCTACACACAGTAAGGAGGTTAGACAACTGGTCAGAAGGAGATTTACAGGGGTCCCTTTGCTGGCACTAGGGGCAAGACTCTGTTGCATTGCTTATGCTTGGATATGGGTCACAGTCCTGGGTCTCAGTCCCAGGATGAGGAGGAATACTAGCACAGCAGAGCTTGTGGCCACAGGGGAACAAGGACCCTGGTCACACTTCCAGGATGGAAAAGAGTGCTTGTAGTCACTCACAGATCAGAGCACAGGCCAGGAGAATAGTAAACACACCTTTCCCTAGATCATATCACCTTGGAAGAGGTGAAAATTTACAGGTCCCCAGAATTACCTCTGAAAACAGCTGCACAAAAAACATGAAGTTTGGGAAAATACCCCCTCCATTCTGGAAGCAGAGTCCCAGATACAGCATAGAGTTAAAAGTCAAGAAATAGGCTGGAAAATGTTTTTACATGTAATTGGGAAAATTGAAAACAGACAAAAAGGAAATGACAAATGATGAAAGGATGAAGGAAAATGGGTACACCAATGAACTGCTGGTGGAGTTGTAAACTGGTCCAGCCATTCTGGAGAACAATTTGGAATTATGCCCAAAGGGCTATAAAACTGCGCAAACCCTTTAACTAGGTCTGTACCCCAAAGGGATCAAAGGAAAAGGAAAAGGACTTACATGTACAAAAATATTGGTAGAAGTTCTTTTTGTGGTGGCAAAGAGCTGGAAATTGAAGGAATGCTCATCAGTTTGGGAATGGCTGAACAAGATGTGGCATATGATTGTGATGGAATACTATTGTGCTTTAAGAAATGATGAATAGGATGGTTTCAGAAAAACATGGGAAGTCCCATATGAACTGATACAAAATGAAGTGAGCAGAACCAGGAGAACATTGTACACAGTAACGACAATATTGTAATGATAATCAATTGTGAAAGACTTAGCTCCTCTGATCAATATAATGATCTAAGACAATTCCAAAGAATTCGTGATGAAAAAATGCTATCCACCTCCAGAGAACTGATGAACTCTGAGTACAAAATAAAGTATAATTTTTCCACTTTCTTTATTTTGCTTGCTTTTTTTCAATATGGTTAATATAGAAATACATTTTACATGATTTTACATGTGTAATTAGTATATTGCTTGCCTTCTCAGTGGGTGGGAGAAGGATGGGAGGGAAGGAGAGAATTTGGAACCCAAAACTAACAAAAAATAAGTAATAATTAAAAAAAAATAAATGATAGGAGAGACCTGGGCCAATGTATGTGCAATAGAAAAGAACCTAGTAGGTAAAGAGAGACTGAAGATGGAAGGATGAGATGAGATATTCAAAGGGACAGATTCCCAAAGGAGACAGGAGAGGATGGAATAAAGAGCAAAAGTAGAGAATTTGACTTCCACAAAGAGAAATAGAAGAATTATCCCTGTACAAAGTCATGCCATTTCTGGAGTTCTGTATACTTATTTCCATATATTTCCCTTAAAGGCCTGACCTATTGCTCTGACAGCCTGACCAGTCCACAAGAATTGAGGAGAAAGAAGTTTTCCCAGTTATTTGGATAATTCTAACCACAACAAAAGATTTTACTGTAGAAAAAGTAATACTTTCATTCCTATATTATCCGGCTGGCTGTCTACATTACCTGGATTTACCAGATCATTGCACTAGAGCTGAGAACAGAAACCAAATCCATAATGCCATTCCTGGAAAGTACCTGTCAATCAGTTAATTGCTCTGTAATTCCACTTACTCCAACTACAAAACTCCCAGCAACAACTTCTCTGTTCATGTTGTCTTCCCCTGTTAGAATATAAGCTCTATGAAGGAGGATGTCCCCTTTTCTGTATTTTTATCCCCTGCACTTTGCGTAGTGCTTGAACTCAGTAAATACTTAATGGATGCTTTTTTATTTATTCCTTCATTGACCTATGTGTTTCCAAGTGATGGTCTTACCTATACAGACATATAACTTGCAGGGACCCTTTCTAATTTACTTTCCAGAACAAAAGCCTTTCTAATTTTGTGACCTGATTTAAAACTTGAGATGACAATTGAACAGAAAAGTGCTTGCCTGTGAGTTAAAACTACCAACGTGTTAACAGCTTGCTTGAGAAGCCTCCCCATGGATTATGGAGCCTGTAGCTATATATTTATTTATCATTACTATCCAAGAAGGCTAAGCAACCTTCTATACAATAGTACTTTGAAGCTAGATCCATTAAAAATATGCCAACAAACTCATCAAAACAACTGCCATCACAATGTCAATTATTTGGAAATAAAAGGTAAATGGAACCAAGGAAACACAGAAACACAGGGCTATCACACCATTCAAAAAGGCACATTCTCTCTTCACAAAAAGAATGGAGTTGTCATATCCATGAAGGAATGATTGTTCATTTTCTAAAATGAGATGTCATTCTCAACCTACAATAACCCTGACAGCCTAACCAGGGTTCTTAATAAACATGATGCAAACTGCTGCCAATTTTACCTTAAGACAAATTGTGAAAAAACACCCCCACTGAAGGTGATGAGTCTGTTTGGTTATTTTCACTGGGGAGAACCCC